CCCACAAGATGGGTTCAGTTCAGAGCCTGGAATGTAAGGTGGTATGAAGGTGAAGATTGTTTCTGGCTGTTAGGCCACCGACCCTGGAGCTTTAGTGCCAGAAGAGAGCTTGAAGATCATCCTATTCTAAGAAACTGAGACACAGAGATGTTGAGTGGCTTGCCAAGTGACAAGGGTCTAGCTGAGACAGGGCTAGAACTTAAATCCAAGCCTTCTAATGCCCAGCTGATGTTCTTTCCAATATTTCATCATCAATTTTGGAATTTAGAATAGATCTTCCCTAAGCTCCTTCCTTTTCCAAATTCTCTTTCCCTGCTGGTTCCCTGCTGGCTGCTCATCCTTAGGCAAGGTGTGTGTGTGATGTCAGATTCCCCAGAAAACAGACTTGAGGAAAGAGTCTTACATGCACAAGGTTTATTGGGGAGCACCTCTAAGGAACTGAGAGGCATAACTGAGAGAAGTTGAACTGCAATGCAGTAGCAACAGAGGCCTTGGCCAATCCTACAGAGTGCTCCGGAGTTCAGACGGTCCTTCAGAGTTGTTCTAGATCAAGGCAAGGGGGCTGGACCTTTATACTTCCATGCTGACCCATCATTGGATGCAGGGGGCATAACCACAGGCAGCTCCTCTCAGCTAAGGGCAGAAGTCAAGGTGTCAGCAGGGCCCTAGGGGAGAATCCATTTCTCTGCCTTTTCCAGCTTCCAGAGGCTAATCACGCTCCTTGGCTCACTGCCCCTTTTCTTCATCTTAAATGCCAGCAATGTCACATACCTCTGACCTTTCTTCTGTCCTCACATCTCTTTTTCTGATCTTAGCAGAGAAGCAGTCTCTGCTTTCAAGGACTGTGTGATTAGTCTGGGCTCACCTGTATAATCCAGAATAATTTACCCATTTCTAGATCCTTAATTTTAATCACATGTGCAAAGTCTTTTTAGCCATGTGTGGTCACAGGTTCCAAGGATTAGGACACAGACAGGTTCATGGAGGGCTATTCTATCACAATCTGGATTAAACATTTTTGGCATTAATATTTTATATGTTCACAGCAACATTATTATTATGTAATATTAACATTTATAATATAATTATATTATTTTATTATTATAGCCAAAAAGTGGAAACAAACCAAATGTTCAAGAACTGATGAACGTATAAATAATATATGGAATATCCATTCAACAGAACATTGTTCAGTCATAAAAAGGAATAAAGTACCGATTGACGCTGCAACATGGGTAAACCTTGAAAACATTATGCTAAGTTAAAGAAGCCAGACACAAATGACCACATATGTATGATTCCATTTATATGAAATGTCCAGAATAAGCAACTCTACAGAAACATAAAGTAGGTAAGTAGGTAGTTTCCAAGGGCTGAGTAGGGGAAATGGGGAGTGATTGCTAATGGGTACGGAGTTTCTCTGGGTGGGGGGGGTGATACAAATGTTCTAAAATTTGATTGTGATGATGGTTGCAAACCTATGTGAACAAACTTAAACCACTGAATTGTACACTTTAGAGGGGTGAACTTTAGGGTATGTGAATTATAACTTAAAGCTGTTTAAAAATGGCTTACAGGTGATGCTGCATCCTATATTTTTTTTTTTTTTTGAGACAGAGTCTCACTCTGTAGCCCTGGCTAGAGTGAGTGCTGTGGCGTCAGCCTAGCTCACAGCAACGTCAAACTCCTGGGTTCAAGCAATCCTACTGCCTCAGCCTCCTGAGTAGCTGGGACTGCAGGCATGTGCCACTGTGCCTGGCTAATTTTTTCTATATATTTTTAGTTGTCCAGATAATTTCTTTCTATTTTTTTTAGTAGAGGTTGGTGGGGGGGGTCTTGCTCTTGCTCAGGCTGGTCTCGAACTCCTGAGCTCAAACAATCCGCCCGCCTCGGCCTCCCAGAGTGCTAGGATTACAGGCGTGAGCCAGCACACCCGGTCTGCATCCTATATTTTGTATCACACCAGGAACCACTTTATGCCTGGTTGTCCCTATTCACGAGTAATGCTAAGATTGAGCTGTGGGTTAGAGTGGTGACAACTGATAAAAACTGTATTGTTAACAAGTCCTTCAGAAAAGCTATCTACCTGACAGGATATAAGTAGAATGTAAGGATAAAAGTAGAATGTATGTAAATATTTAGTAAATCATAAACATCGTGGGGAGAATAATGGCTCTCCCAAAGATGTCCATGTCCTACTCCCTGGAGCCTGTGAATATGTTACCTTACAAGTCAGAGTTCATAGCAACTTTGTTATTAAGTTTGTGCACCTAGACATGGGGAAATTACTCTGGATTATTCAGGTGGGCCTGACCTAATCACATTAATCCTTAAAAGCAGGGAACCTTTCCAGCTGAGGTCGGGGAGAGATGTAATATTGCTGGCTTTGAAAATGGAGGAAGGGGGCCAAGGAATATGGTGCCTCTGCAAGCTGGAAATGAGAAGAAAAGACATTCTCCGTTAGAGTCTCCAGAAATAGCACAGCCCTGCTGACACCTTAATTTTAACCCAGTGAGACCCACATTGGACTTCTGACCTACACAAACGTAAAATAAGAAATTTTGTTTAAGTCACTAAATCTGAGGCAATTTATTACAGCAGCGATAGAAAACTCATATAATAAAGCACACAGAATTCTAATAAAAACATGACTAACATATCCAAGTGAAGTAGTTCAATACAGTAAAACTCAAATTACCCCAACCCATGGTGGAAGTACAGTAACATTAAAAACATGAACAAATTCCACTAACTTCTGCCCCCACCCACTCAGGCAGCTTCAATCTCCGCCAAAGAGTCCCTCAAGCATTTCTGGGAGTACGTAGGGGGTGTCTGTGTTCATGAAATAACCTTCTCATGAAGCAATCCATTTCCAAGCAATCTGGGTAACTCTACCAGGTAAGAATTGCTGTGCCACGCTCCAGTCTTTTTAGGAAACCGCCCCTGCTCTATTGGACACGAGTCCTTGCCAGGTACTTACCCCATCCCTTTGGCCACCACAGACTTCTAGAAGGCATCTCCTCCAATGTGCTGGAGCCTTTAAATGGGCAAAACTGTCCTGGGGTCATTTGCACAAGGGGAATAGTGGCTGTCTCCTCAATGTTTTATAGAATTTGTAATGAACTTGGTCGCTTTTTCCTTTTAGTCTTCCACTCAGCTCTCCAAAGGCCTCAGATGCAAATCCAGTGGCAGCTGGGGAGAGCAACAAATCATATTGTACTCAAAATGATCCCTCCACTGCAACTAGGTCCCATAGCATCGAATTGCTACAGGGTTCGCTCTCCCCTAAAGCAAAATTGTTTCCCAAGACTCTTTTCAGTCCCCTTGAAAATAGGTTTCCAGCATGCGAATCTCACCAGTTTGACAGACGTGCCCAGATATGACTAAATCCCACTTGCACTCGTCAGGCTCCCACAATATGAAGAAGGCAGTGTACAATTGGGACAAATACGTGTTTCTCACTCAAGGACCTTCAGGCCTGCAAAGAAGGGAGATAAAGTTGAATAGGGAGAAAGGCCTTGAAAGTCAGGGCAACAGAGAACCTCTGAAAGTTTTTAAGGAGAAACACCACAGTATAATTGGTGTTTAGGAACATTTACCTTATAGCACATTTGTAAAATGGAGAGGCAGGGAGAGCAAGAGTAGAGTAAGATCAATTAGGGAGTTGTTTCAGTGATTTAAGAACGAAACGTTGAAGGCTGTACAAAGAAAAGTGTGAAGGGAAAAAAATGTTCCTGGTATATATTGCTGCCTAACAAACTACCCAAAATTTTAGTGGCTTAAAATAGCAATAATGGCCTGGTGCAGTGGCTCATGATTGTAATCCCAGCACTCTGGGAGGCCAAGGCGAAAGGATCACTTGACGTCAAGAGTTCAAGACCAGCCTGGGCAACATAGTGAGACCCCATCTCTACAAAAAATAAGAAAAACTAGTTGGGGACAGTGGTGCACACCTGTAGTCCCAGCTACTCAGGAGGATGAAGCAGGAGGATCTCCTGAGTCCAGGAGTTTGAGGCCAGCCTGGGCAACATAGTGAAACCCCATATTAAATAAAATTTTTTTTTAAGATGGAGTCTCACTCTGTTACATGGGCTAGAGTGCTGTGGCATCACCTTAGCTCACAGCAACCTCAAACTCCTGAGC